GAATAACCTCAGCCTAGAAGGGAAGCCACGAAAAATAAAATAGTTAATATTTATTATTTAATATATTAAAATTAATTTATAAAAAAAATATTTTTAAATATCATAACAAGTTATTTTAAAAAAATTATAAATAAAATTAATAATCTCGAGAAAAACTAGTTACCTTAACAAGGAAGGCTGGCGGAATAACCTCAGCCTAGAAGGGAAGCCACGAAAAGTAAAAAAGAGAAAGAAGGCTGAAGAAAAAGGAGATAACCAAGGGAAGCGACGGTACCAAGTCCAAAGGCTTTGTACTGTCTCCTTTCTTTAAATAAAAGTTCTTCACTTAACCTGCAAGTAATTTTTTTTTTATTTTAAGTACATAATAAAAAATAATTATTTTTTTTTTGTTACTTTCTTATATACTATGCAATTCAAATTTAAAATCTTTTACTTCTAACATAAGAAGATGATCACTAAATTATTTAGATATTAATTATTCTACAAGCTTTAAACATTTGGTTTACCTCAATAATATATTGTTCCATGCACCCTGTTTTCACTTTCTTTCTTTCTTTTTTCCTTTTCATATTTACGGTTCGTTTTCTCTCTCTTCGTAGATCAAGTTCTTATGTTATTTGTGCAATCATGGCTGTTTGAATGCAACTTATTGAGATAAAATTTATACATTTTGGTACGTAATACACATTTTCTGTTTGTAATTGGTGTCGGCTCTACCCTGATTTGGCTATATTGTTGTTTGCTTTTTCATGTAACTCTATTCACATGGTGTTTGAAATGTCAACTTAGATGTTTTGCCCGTGAGTACATTTAATTGAGTCATGGGCATGTTTGTGCAATTTAAGCATGTGGGTCTTTGGAAAAATTATGAGAATTGGGTTGGTCTTTATAAAAGACTCTCGTGAGTCCAATAACTAATGAATAAGAAAAAAAGCGAAAATGAAAAGAATTAAGAAAGGAATAAAGATGGCTAAAAAAAATTTATAGCTGATTTTCCTTGTTAGATTACTTGTGGAATTGAATTATTGAATAAGTATTTCATCCATTTAATTATTGAAAGAGAAGCTCAGTGCTTCCCTCTATTTGAACTTAAATTTATGAATATGAAATTTAGTTTTTTTTTTTTAGATTTTTCTAGAATACAGATTAAGTATATATTTTTATAATAAATTTATATAAACAAAGTAATAATAAATATTAATTTTAAAGTTAATATTATATAAATAAATTTAATTAAATAATTGATAAATTCAATATGATTTTTTATTTTTAAAATTTTTTTAATTTATACCCTTAAAATACAAATTTAAAAAAATCCTTTTTTTAATTAAAGTAAGTTTTTTTTTTTGTTTGAACCATCCTGTATTCAGAAGTCCACTGGACCACTGATTAATCCGGATTTGAGTCGAGCAAGATCCAATGGACGGTAAAACTCTCCCTCACGAGTTTTAATGGAACTGCATTCTTAGAACTTAAAACCAAAACTTTTGATTAAATTAAAAGAGTTTTCTGCTAACTCATCCACTTACTCATGGGTTTTAATTAAAGTAAGTTTGTATGTTCTTAAAATACCTCAAATAAAGTAAATAGCAACTGAGATTTTTATACAAAAGTTGTAGGGCGCCTAACAAATTTTAATGAAAATCACCTAATAATTTTTTTAAAAAATTATGATAATATTTAGAAGTTTTAATTTCAAGTCTTGACAATCTTATTAAGACTAGTTCAAAAAATTAAAAAAGAAAAAACCACGTAACTTAAAAATAAACCCTTAATATTCTAATAACTTTTATTTTATTGTCAAACATAATATAAAAACCATAGTTTTTTTTATAATAATTACAATTGAATATCCTTTATTTTTAGTTGATAGAGTCATTTACAATTTTATTAAAATCATCAAAAGTTATTTAATTTGGTTACTATTTTATTTATTTGTAATTTTTTAATAGTTGATTATAATTTTTAAAATATTAAATTATTACATTAAAAAATATCAATTTAAAAATTAATTTTAATTTACTAAATAATAAATATTAATTATTTTTATTAATTATCAACTATTTTTAATAATCAAACTAAATAAAATTATCTTAACAAAATATTGGATTGTTGTATTCATACCCTTGTTCTTAAAAATGGTTATGAGAACATAGTTATGTAAAGCCCACATAAAAATTATAAAAATATTTAACTTAACTATAAGAAATAATTAATAATAGTTATTAATTGATAATTTATAAAAAAAA